GTATGCCCTTTTGGTCAACTAAGCTAAAATTGTGGAGAAAAAATAATTAAGATGTATAGTCTCCTGTATACTATCTGTCTCGCGGGCCTGCGGACGGCGAGCATGGTTGGCTCCCCGTCTGATCAGATACAGACCCGAGCGTACGGCGCGTCCCGTTCCGCGCGCGCCTCTAAGATCCATCAGACCACCACAGATGGGGCCCAACAGGGCCGATGCCGATTCGGAGTCGCGGAAAACCTAACCGGTTATGGGGGTGGTTTTTAGTCAGTAAGAGTCTGACACTCCCTCCCGTCTCACCCAGGCGGGAGCAGTCATTCGATGATTTTCCCCCCTTTAAAAAAATACTATCTGTCTGTGTGTTGTAGGTACAAGTAAGATTTTTCTCATATAGGAAAAATACTAAGTTCATTTATTACACGTACCAGTTAAGATCCGGGGCCGTAAATAATTCGCTGGATTTAGGAATTAGGATGAATCCTATTAGCACCAGCTGGATGGGCAACAAAATGTAATTTTGAGGCTTAGCAACAGTATTTGTTAAATTTATTTTGATTATGTACATACTTTGATAGATAGACCAAGGTCTATACACTATATCAAGATATAGTGTACACTGACCTATGAAGTTTATTCGCCTCTAGCAATTATGGTGACATAATAGTATCAGGCATGTCGTGGTGGCCTCCGTGGTGGGTTTGAAATCTACCAACATCAAGGTAAAATGTGACTTTTTCCGAGTTACATGTGCTTTCTAAGATTATTCAGATACCACTGACAAACGGTGAAGGAAAACATCGTGAGGAAACCTGGGCTTATAATTTGTAATTATAAGTTTGAAATCGCCAACCCGCATTGAGCAAGCGTGTTGATTAATGCTCAAACCTTCTCCGTGTAAGAAGAGGCTATGCTCAGCAGTGGGCATTATAGACTGTTGATGTGATGTGATAGTATCATCCCATGTATTATTCCCTAAAGTGGCAGACATCTATTCAAGTACTTTGAACAAGGTTTTTGTTTCAACTAAAAAGTTTGCAACCACTACGATATAAATAAGAAAATAATAAATTACCCCAAAATGCTTAAATAAAGTCACACCTTTTAATCCGTAGAAGGCTGTCCATACTTAATAGGAGGTGAGCTTAACGCCATACTCCGGACACAATTCTATACACTAAAATAAATAATATTTATTTTCGAAAATCTGAAAAAATCCCAATGATTATACTAGCTAGACTTAGGAATCGAACCCGAAATCTGATTAATCGATAACAACATTAATTAAAATCATTCTAACCCAATAACTTCCAAGATATTGAACAACAATAACCCATCCATACATCGACGGGTCTAAGGACCAAAGATCCTAAACTAACATAGTTCGAGAGAAGAACCCCGTCTTCCAAAGATCAAAGACCTCCAAGAGGTCAACTTAACTAAGTACTTAAGCCCTATTCAAATGTTAATTTCGGACCCTTGAGTACTAAACGCACGTGAAACTATACAATTACGAAAGTTTACAAGTTCAGGGTTGGACCAAAGACATATTTCAATTTTGGTTTCAGATTTAAAGTCTCGATTGTAAAGCTTGAGGTAGGTCTCAACAAGTCATAAAACACCTAGTTTGAATACTAAATTAGATACTATTTTATCATCTAACTATTCGTGGCTCGATAAGATTCGAGCTACGCTTGGGAACCATAATCAATATGCGCGTCGCACTGCCAACTCTCGACGCAGAGGCAGCAAGAGGCTTAAGTAGTTTGGGCCACCCTACACTGTCATGGTCGTGTCGTGGTCCATCAGACCTTCCAAAAAGTCCCGAAAAAGCCCCGCAATCGCGGTATAGTCACTCTATCTTCCATTAGGGGATTTCGGCATTACGGGGGCTTCACAGAATGTGTATGGCACCCAAATAACACTTTGGTCTTGCACCACCACTCGCAGTGTGCCACTTCTTGCCACAAAAATACGCCAAAACATGTAGTTTTCATTTCTGTCTACCCGCATGCAGACGATTAAATATATGATATCTAATAGGTAAATGTGTTGTAAATAAAACTCCTATTATCAGTCAATTGTTTATTATAATTATTTAATCCAAACATCTAAAACTAACGAAATAAAACGAAACATTAATATCATAGCAAGTATCACAATCAATACATAATTATGATTAAGAGTACTATTAACGCCATCTATAATACACAACCAAAAACAACTTGCCCTCAACCGAACCTCACGTAACCCATCACGAATGCAACGTTACCTATCTAATACCTACTCATTGTTTTTGTCACGAAAAAACAGATGTCGCTAGTAGTACGAGTCGAAGTGTTATTAACGTAAACTAGAGGGCGTAGTTATCAAAATAATATTTTTTGTAGTATTTTGCATCTGTGTTTGCGTGAATTTTTCGTACAATGATATTATCGCATTCTAGTAGGTGTGCACTTGGTTAATTTAAATGTCGATAGAGGGTGTTCTGACGTGCCAACAATAATTAACCAGGATATGGCGTATTAGCAAAAATATCAATTTATCTTTGGTTTTACTGACATTTAAACAATACAGTTCTGATTTAGAGGACTCTAGGATTCTCCCAACGAATATCAGAGATGCGAAAGTAAGTTTTTTTTGTTTGTTTGTAACTTTGCGCATTGCCCATACAGTAAATCTTCTTAAAATTTGGCATAGATGTAGTCAGAAGTATGGAAAAGGACATAAGACTACCTTTTACGCGAGCAAAGCCGCTAATAAAAGCTAGCATCTGTTAAAATAAAACTAGGTCCTTCATATTATATTACATAATTATTTAATCGTGTATAATTATTGAATACATCAAAAATTTTTGGTGTAGTAAGAAATTCGCTTATGCGCAATCTCCTGGCCGCTACCTGTATATATAGGCCAGTATATATATTCATCTTAACAAGTATTGTACATCATCAGGAATGTACCTACTAACATTAACACTACTGTTCATCTCCAATAACTTTTCTAACTCTAAATTGAATTTTACACATTAATATTTAATTAAAAATTAAATACATTAAATAAACTAAAGTTATAAAACATTAAATCAGTCATTTACAAAAAAAAAATTTTTTAACGTATTTTTACATCATGGCTAAGAGCAATAGACAATGATCCTAAGGTTACGATTTTTTTTTCTGTGTCCTAGTAACTTTGGAAGGGGGTACCATTTTTACATATTTCTCTTTCTTTCATTCGAATACCCAATGTCCCAATTTACTACATCACAGATTGCACTGATTGGTGTTTGATTGCACAATGTTCTATTATTAGTTATAATTTAGAAAAACTTATGAATATCGCAAATAAGTTATATTGCAAGCTGCCTTATATCTGACTAAAGAACGACTTCAATGAAAACTTAATAATAATTATGATTTCATTATTACGCGTTTTATTGAAATCTTATTTAATTCTTAAATTAGGTATTCTTAGATAATGGCATGTTCTAATGTTAAACAAACTATTCGTGAACGGATTGAAATTGTCTCAAAAAGCTTTTTGTTCAGTTCCTTAGAAAAAATTGGAGAGCACAACTTATACTCAACTGTAGTTGAAACTGTTGCATGTTGAAATCAATAAAAAAAAGTAAAAAACCGCGTACCATAGACATTTTAGTAACATTCATAAACGTCTACTTTTAAAAAACGAAGGCGATGTGCATTTTATGTGTATTTATCGATAAGTGGCTTTTGGCATTCATGATGCTGTCCTTTTTCTTACACTTATCAATCATAAAACAAGTAACTTTCATAACAGACAATTCCTGTCTCTTCAATAGAACATAATCATTCGACTTCCATTACAAACACAGGTCCTATCAAGATTTATAAATACCTACACACTAAGTAGAATACTGAAATGATCATAGAAAAATTAAAATTTACACCTTTTGAAATGGATCACAAACATACCACAACGGTGTACAAACCCTTCATCTACCACACAAATGAATCTCTATTTACAATAATATACAATGCGAAAAATTAAGAATACGTCAAGTACAGGAGATATTTTAGGACTCACATATTTGTTGCAGCTCATTAAATAAATCACATCATCAACATGTACAATCAATTATCACTTTTAAAATATATGCTACAACATTCAAAAATGAGCTAAATCAATCTTCTGTCTGCAGGAATAGAGAATACAAATTACAAAACACAATTAGATAGTTCTAGTACGAGCTAAATTGCATTTCAGCGCTTGTCTACCAAGAGAGTAGAAAACTTAATGAACTGACATTATGTCAGAATTCATTCGAGCCCCTTTGTATTGTGTTTTCTGTTCTTGTTCTCTTTTGGCACACAAAACGCTAAAATGTTATTTGACTCATAGCACCTGAAACTTATTGAAACTCTTTTTATACTTACTTCTAATGAACTCAATCCTGCAGCTACGTAACGCAATCTACACAACGTGACAACGCAAAACAAATCAGACGCGTCAAACAAATATGTACCCATCACACGTTCGACAAATTATAACAAAAAGTATTAAAACTATATTTACACAAAATGTCATCTCTTTCATCTCTTCACGACATTATAAAAAAATCATTAAAATATTCATACAAAACATCCATTAGAGAAAACGTTGAAACTGTTATTTCTTTTCAGTATTTTTTTTTGTTTCTTATACTGATTTACAAACAATTCCACGTTCTTCATAGGCAGTGTAAAATTTTTGACAACTATAAAAATCATTATTATCTAAAATACTTCGAAATGTCAAAGAATAAAAATTAAACTTAATCCCCATCAATTTCCCAATCAATGTTGCACAATAATATCTTAATTGGATGAAATTGTGAACTTTTTGTACTTATTACAAATAAAATGAGTCGATTAAATACTATATTTTTCGTCTTACACACGTAATGCTCTGCTCATGAATATGAGCCTCTAGCTTGGCTTGAAACTAGTCGAGTTCCTCGTCAAATTATTACGTGAGTAAGCCGAAAACATAATAATTAATTTGCCTCACCAAAGTTATAATATAAAAAAATGAGTAAACATTTAAAACAATAGGTACTTATAAACCTGCGATTTCAAAGCACTGAGTATTTAAAGGAGCAGTCAACCCATAGCACGGGGAAATAAGAGCCATCTAGTGAACAGAACGTAAACTTCTGATTGTTTACATGTGTAGTATGTCTACAATCAATAAACATTATGTTATATTTTTGTGTACAATTAATAGTCATTACCTACCGGTAATTTAGTTGAAATAGAATAAATATTCAATTTATAAAGAAATAAATTCCTTAGTCATTCTATTTTATAGTCAAAATGTTTAAAACGTCAGCCATTCGGACCCTACGATACTAAAATTTAGAATCCCGTAAGTTAGGATAAGGCAAAGGATAGATGAAGGTGGGCAATTTATATTCTACGTTCTCTCATAGAAGTCGTCCATTACTCACGTTGTGATAAGTCACTTCAACATGGTGTACATGGCTATACATCAAGCTATACAAAACCATTATAAACTGACCGTCAATTGTATACAAAGGTCGTTTACACCGAGATCACAATAAAATGGTTTTGTATAACTTATTGATTGTGTGGTGTTTTCCATACCCCATATTTTCGTGAATAATAGACGCTCCCATCACTATCAGGCGTCATTGTGTCACAAAAGTCTGCTGTCATACCATTCAGAGGCCTTAGTACGAGTTTGTTTTACGTTTCAAGTAATCGTAATGAGTACGCGTTCGGCGCTGTGATTGGTTGCTTCATTAGCGCTGGCCAATAAGGGTGCCGAATGCGTATTCGTTTCGAATACTTTAAACGTAAATCGAACTCGTACTAAGGCCTCTGTACAAAATTCATTAGATTTTTCTTTGGTAGTCATCTTCCTTTGCATTCTTTCGCAATATCCTTTCAGCTTCCTCAGCCGTAACTACTTTCAGGCTTCGTCTAACATAAATCCATTTCTTACCTTATCAATTCTTGCCACAGTCCATTCAAATCGCTTATCCTAACTAAGTTATCATTGTAAAATGTAAAATTGTCATTGAGTGATTGTGATTGATGTAAATCAATTTATGAAATTAATTGTATTGTTTACAAATTTCATTATTTAAATACTCAATTAAGTTGGTAAAATTATTATCATTAAAATTATGAGTAGGCGCCTAATGTTCTGGAGGTCTTGGTTCAGATTTCTATAATGTAACTTTTTTGGCACCATAGAAAATTGAATTCATTTTTTTTTCTTATAATACTTTAACAGATTGTTTAGTTGTCATCTGTGTTAAGTTCTTATTTTCAACGTCAAGTGGTTTCTTATTACTCTCGTCTGAGGTAATAAGAAGAATCCTTATTAAATTGTAGTTGTATCCTTATACAAAACTACAGCATACTTAAGTCTAGTTTTCTAATTAAAATTTATAAGAATGTCAAATGTGAATTTAGTCAAAAATTTCCGATAGCTCTTATCACCCTACTTTCCCGTAGAAGTTTACAAAATATCGCTGTTAAGTTCACACTAGACAAATGATGTTAAACAACTATTGCAACTGATGCAAGCAAAGTATTTGCAACATACATACTTATTTATGTAAGTGCAATTTTATATACATTAATATTCATAGTTCATGAACTCAATCAGGCTACACAGATTGATGACGAAATGATTTGCCCATGCTCTGAAGAGGAGAGTCGGGAGAAACGGACATAGACTTTCATTTTACGGCAAGGTGTTATTGCTTATTTCTATCCGTAACTGTCCGCAACGTCCCAAGTCAAATCACCTTCAAAACATGGACAATTCGTCATCATGCTGCGTACAATGGAGTCATCCAGAGGTAAGTTTTGTCAAGAGATTATGAAAAATTAACTAAAACTTTCCAATTTTCTCTGGAACCAAATAATTCGCTTCCTCACTAATTTAAAATACTTATTGCTTGAAATCGCAGTTCTTAAGCCTACAATATGTGTTTGTGTGATGTTTTTAAGACACCATTTGCCTGTGTCCATTCTGACCGTTCCCTGATGGGAACAGTACGCCTTCGTACGTCACTCCGTTCAGCTCTATCGAAACCACTAGTTGGTGGTCTCCTGTGCTAGCATCACCTGCAGGACAAACAAATTGTAATGATTAGATAAATTCTACTAATAGGCAAGATGATGATGACAAAGCAGTTGGATCGGATGGTGCAATTGAATGTCCTGATTTGTATAATAACTTGATATAAGGCAACAAGTTACTGATGATTTGGTTTAGACTGTAGAAGTTTGTACTACAATTTTGAACTCGAAAAGTTAAAGTTTTAACATAATAATGTTTTTATAATAACTATCGTGAGACATGCTAAATAACTAAAATTGTGGGTTACTGGCGTGAATATACTGAGAAAAGCTCTACTAGTTTCGAACCACAGAGGGGTTCTTTCTCATGAGCAGCGTACGCGGTTGCAGCTACTTGCTAAATTAGTAGAGCTTTTATCAGTATATTCATGTGAGTAAGCCGCGATTTTTAAGTAACAATAATGTTTGCAAATCTAAGTTGAAATTTACCTCTGGTAGTGATTTTGAAGGCAGCCCCATTGACGCCATTAGTAGTGGGCACGCCGCCGCCGTTCATCTGTGGCGGCGAGACCGAGGACTGGTCGCGGCGCGCGTGGCGGTGCGCGGGCGGCGAGTGCAGGTCGGCGCGCGGCGAGGCGGGGCGCGAGGCCGGCCGGAGGCCGGCCGCGGCGTGCGGCGCTTGGCGGGCGGCGCGGGCGACCGGCACGCCTCGCGCTTGCCCCCGCTCGTGACAGAGTTCGGGCTCTCGCTCAGGTTCAGAGCCTCGCTGTAAGCCATACTGAGGATAAATAAATTATCAGAATGTGTCAACCTGTAGGTTGACTAGATATCTGAAAAAAGGTTGTCAATTTTCTTTTTATCAAAAATGTAGTGTTAGTATTTTGGCGATCTTCCAAAGGCACATATGCGTATAACGGGGTGTTCCTCAAGGAAGCATTTTAGGACCAGTTAAATAATACTAATTATAAGTGTTGAAACTAAAAGTAAAGCAATTGAATCGTGATTTTAACTCACCGTTGTGGCTCGAGGTCTGGCAGTGGGCTGCTGTTATTATTGTTGTTGCACATGGACCAGAGAGTGAGGCGGGACACATCGATGGCACTGAGGGCAGCCGCGTCACGAGGCGACATTATCGGGCCTGGACCGTTCGGAGGGGACTCTGAGCCTGCGAAATGTGAAAAGGCTAAAACTATTATATAGAAGCTAATATGCTAGAGATAACATCATGTAATTAACATATCAACCATGATAAAAAAGCGTCCATATTCATATTTCTCTTAAAATGGTAACATTGGAATTCATAAATTTACTTTAAAATTTAATATAATGTAAATCAACAATATAATATGAACAAATTCATGATTAACGGACTTAAAACTGTATCATTAAAAGCAACATACCATGACGCATAAGCTCTCTTTGCTGTTGGATCATCTTCATGTACTCGCGCACTCTGTACTCGATGTCGTGTTGTCCAAGATGCGGCGGTAGCGGCGGCAGGCGCGGGGCCACGCCGCCCAGCGACAGCGACAGCGGCTGCATGTGCTGGGACAGCTGTGCCAGGGACGCGGGCACGCGGTTTAGTGGGGGCTGGAAATGAAGAGGGGGGGGGGGAGTTAGGTGACTATTTGTCTAACTGAACCACTACCATGAAAGCATTCTTACTAGACTATGACAACTAGTAAGAACACTAGAAAACATATAAATTATGATGATTTTGATGGAGAAAGAAAATCATTGTCTTAAATTTTCTAGCTAGCTTTCAATATCTGATTGATTGTCCTATTCATTTCCAACCTTCACTCTAGGTAAAGTAAGATAAATAAATTAAATTGTGTTGCTACCAACCAAGACTAGCAACCTATCTCTGTAAGTCCTAGTTTCAGTCTTCGAATTTTCTAATTTAATGTTTATGTAAACTTGTTTCTGATTCTATTGATTTTCATTTTTCTTTTTGCAAAATAACAGTTGAAATGTAGACTAGAATGTGAACTATTTCACATAATAATTTTACTCCACTTTGTAAATCTGGCGGTGGATAGCTGACCGCTAGTATTTAAAATTCGCCAGTATATTAAAAAATGCACCTAAAGTCTATAAGAATAACAAAGGATTTTGCTCACCATAGCCAATGCTGCCTGAGCATCGTATTGTCCTGACGCACGGCGTCCTTCCCGCTTGTTGCCTTCAATGGCTGCATCAAGCTCGCTCCTGGTGGAAAGATTCTTCTTCTCACACTCGTAGTCATACAGATATTTCATGTATCTGTAACGAAAACACATATAAATGAGAAAAACGAAGCAATTTCAAGTTGTAGGTACACTAGCAACGATAACAAAAATATTAGTGACAAAAATGTACTTAATCATAAAATTGTCAATCATTCTTAAGATAATAATACATTAACCGTTCATTATGAAATAGACATTCGTGGAAATGTACGCAACAAGAATAGAATGAAGGACGAGCTCTATGTCGGAGCGGCATCGCCAAAGCTCATCCCGAATCCATTATCATTCAAAATAATCTTAGTATCTATCAACTCGGAAATAAATCAAAAGATGTCACCATTCAATCCTTTAGAACGAACGAATCTAATAATAACTTTATTGCCTCGTCCGTGGCTTGACAACCTTATAAATCATATTCCAACACCAATTATTATCAAATGTCTATCCTTCAAGCATAATAAACCATTACAATCCTAATCCTATTCTGTAACTTGTCAATTTTATTTGACCCCATTGTCGCGTGTACCTTCCATATGTCATATTAAGCGGTCACATATTTAATGCGTAACACAATGAGAACCGCCGTCTCATAAAAACGCCACCTCTAAAACTGTCACAAGCGATCTATATATACGACATTCGTCATTAGGTACTGTTTGTCTAATTTTACGATGTTACTATATGTAAGCTTTGGCATTAGAATACTTTTGTCTTGACAGAAAATTTTAATATATGACCAATGCTATTTATAATAAAAATTGATGATCGTTACACTGAAGACGAATTACAAATACAAGACCCGATATAAGAAAATGAATATGTAGCCAGAATCAAAGCGTACAATAGGCAGCTTTCTAGCTAGCATTACAATAAGTATTTAGGCCAAAATTCTCACATCGTTTGGAATATAATTTCAAAGTCCAAACACACTATGAAAATTAACGTAACGAGGCGCATACAGAAACAGATCGGAATAAAAGAAGCTGCGCTCAAAATCATCGGTTCGTGCGTAACCGGCGTACATTTTGAATCATAAACGTAAACCACCTTTATGACAACCGACAAAAGACGAGGTGAAGGAACTCTGCGAGAGATAAATGAGAAATTATATCGGCTGAGATGAGCTAAGGTTATTAATTATGAAGTTGTCATATTGTCGCGTCCGACGCTCACGTAGTGCCATTGTAGGCCATCTTTTGTCTCCACCTCGTGAGAATTTGAATGAGGATGTGATACAAAGCCAGTCGAATATGGAGCGAGCTCCTGACTTGTTGGACCACACAGATATCTTTTGTCAATCATGTTCTAGATCTGAGGATAATGCATATTGATTTGGTGGAGACGCGTTGCCGAAAGATTTTAATTTGAATGATAAAAATAAAATGATCAAAACGTCTGTGGAACTGATCATTACTACTAGTACAAAAGATGAAGAATAGTGACACCTACATACAGTAACAGAATTTGAATGTTGATATAAGTAATTCTAACAATAAAAAATCAAAATAAGAGAATCCTATCTTCAACAATGAAAGGAAACCGACTGATGATGACGATGAAGATAATGAAGATTAAATTCATAGACTTACTGTGTGCGTAAAGTGAACGCGGCAGATGTGATGGAGGACGGTAGGCGGAGTCCCTTGATTATCTCCTGCCACAGCTTCTTGTTGATCACCTCGACCAGCCCGCCACGAGCAATCACAAGGTTGTAGAGCTCGTACAGATCTAACACCGACTTGGCCATTATCGGCAGTCTGTTGATGGGTGTACCTGAAACAAAAATGGTGAAAATTAGCTTAGATTAAACATAAAAGCCATCTTGCCTATTATTTATTGTATAATATTAGAAGATGGTACAACAACCACAATTAAAGATATAGAAGCCATTGTTAATGATAACATAGGCATAGTTAAGAGTGATAAAAGTAATAAAAGGATGCCTATAAACAAATGTAAAACAACAGAGGAATTCCATAAGATGACCATAACATGCCTAATAGTACAATTACTTCCAAAACGGTAAAAACGATTACTTAAAACTCAAGGTAAATACATATATCAACGTACAACTTCCGTCAGCAATAAAATTTCTCAAAATACAACAGCAGCAATTCAAAATCAGGGATAGCAAATATATGGTAATGTAACAAAAGAGTCTTTACAAACACAAGGATATTCATCATGATATAACTCAGAATGGTAGAGGGCAGTACATTCGCTCACTATTGCAAGTTGTAAAACCCTTTACAGCGTACTTCATAAGTGTCGTAAAAGCTAACCACGACGATATAGGAGCAGATACAGCGCTAGATTGAGCTGAAGAAATTCCTGAAGAGGACTTTGGTGAAATTAATTGTTCTAATGCTGTTTCTGGTTACTGTGTATGTTAGTTTTTATTTGAATTTGCGGTCAAATTATAGTTAGATGCATAAATGTGCATTACAGTGTAGATTTAGATAAAAAACATATAGGTAGATAATCTAAAAAACAAAGCCTGTAACAATTTTTAGAAAAAAAAAAGAATCATTGAAATATAGTACCAACTTAGATCACATTTTACTACTCCAACCGCGTATTAAAGTTAGTGACGATAAAATGAGAAGAAAAGCTGATTACGGTGACAACCATAACTTATCGCCACCACCACCTGTGTCCCTTTGGAAACATTAATCACCGTTTTATATGACTATATTACACGCCTTAATGTGATCTCACAACACCAAAGCCTTTACATGTAAAACGTGTAAACGCTACGTGCTTTGGAAGATGAATTCAAGCCATAGAGCGCTTGACATAACAATATTACTGACTTTATCAAACTGTGCTTTACAGCGCTTGCTAGGATATCGTGCGTCAAGTAGGCAACAAGGCGAGCGTGCTAAATCGCATCGCATCGCACGATCGATGATTTACGGGCGCAAGCGAGTCAGATCGCGGCTTTTACGATGCGCGCGCGCAGCATTAGTGGCCCCGATTTAGCACAGCCCGTGTGGCCACGGAAGCCAGGCCCGTTTGTTGTATGTGGCTAGTTTGTGACTATTTGATTTACTGTAATTTGCCTGTTAACTTGGCCGATGACGTGACCAATCCGTACCGACAACGCTAACGCCGGGATTTACAATAAGGAACTGTTAGCCACTTAGTTACGCCAGTGAGACAGTGGAACTGTCAGCTTCTGATGTTTACATGTTTGGAACAAGAAAACAACAGTGTTTATAAGCCATTACTTAGCTCGGTGAAGGTGTGAGAATCATTCACGAACATGTGAGCATCAAATCTCTAACTGCTGAATATGTACCTAAGTAGAAATCCTTAATCAATTAGCATACGTATTGAAGAACCCATTCCCTTTATTACAAATCAACAGAACATCATCAATAACCTTTAATTCGTTCCTATGTTAAACAACAACCGGTAAGTCATCTGAAGTTATTTCAATTGAAGTTGTTTGAGCAGCGCTTCGTGGCAATCAATCAACATTGTCTAAATGATTGTTGCAAACAATTCGTTACATCTGCAGAGTCACCTCGCGCTCGATATCGTGTTACAAGCTGTCTCTGTTCGCGCCTGCCGGCATTACGGTATGTTCCCACTTAGCTATTTGTTCATTAACCCCATCTGCTTGAAAACGTATCAACACTCGCTTATTTTACTTGTAGCATATTTTCTCTTTAAAGTACTTAGGTTGCGATTCGTTAGTACAGATTTTCTAATGGCATGTGTGCTTATGATGTGCACTTGTCACTTCAAATCTAAATTAAATCAATTCAGCATAAGCTTCTGAATATAAATTTATACTTAAACTATGAGAAGATTTCTGTCGACAAGCTACTGAGAACCAAGACAGTTATGTTGAGGCCCTACCAGGACTTATAAATACAAACATTACCAAATCGAGAAAACCCGAAGCAAGAACCACCCTTCCACGTAACAGCCTCGATCGTTTATTGATGAGAGCGAAACATTAGCGAAATACCTAAACGACTATTTGTCAATCCGTCTTCCTGTCTGCAGTTAATCATTCCCCCGGTTATCTGGGCCAGGGAGGGGGAGGGGGTGAGGCGGGGTGCGCGGGCGAAGCGGCTGAAGGGGTGGCAACGTCACCCGTTCAGATTAATTGCCACGTTTGAAGAGTAAATGGAACAACATGATGCGCAGGAATTGGTATTTAGAGCTCGGTATTGTTAGATGTACCTGGTATTTTGTTATAAGCTACTGGTAATACTAACTGGTATTCCAATTGGTAGTTGCAACACTATACGTAGGTAGCCTTCCCATCACTATACAATCGGTTATTCTAACACCGTAAGGGAAATTGTTTCATGCAACACAAAGACAGGTTGTGATGGAATCGTAAGATTTGTTAATAGGTGTCAAATGTAAATAAGATTACAATTTCACGTATCTAAGAAAAAAGTTCAAAACTAGAAAGTTATGGAAGACCAATTCGAAAATGCCATAGGAGTTCCTAATTCTTATAAGACCAGTAACCGATGACTATAGCTACTGACAGTAGGTAATAACAAAAAAGCAAGGTAGCATAAAGAGCCATATTACTTTACAACATGTCGGTAGCCGATAGTAAAATGTAACAATAGATGACTCATAAGTCATAACTACTGAGGTAGAAAATTAGGTGCAAAATATGACATATGCATTGCACTACTTAAACCCAATCAACCGAGATTGGTCTAAAGCCTTACAAAGTTCACAAAAATTCGTTAACTTCAATCCCAAGTTTTCATGCTAAACAATAGTTCTTAAGCAAAACCAATGAATGTAGAAGCTTGAAGTATAAATTGTAGTCAAAGTTAGCAACAATTAGCTAATCATTAACAGTTCTCAACATTGATATTTGCTATCGATTCCCTCGATTCGCTCTGCTCTCGCCACCCACACGCGTCACACCACGTTGACAACCTTTATTGCACCCTACTAAGTTGCTTTGAGCTCGATAGCGGCTTTTATGACCACCATTTCACCCACGCTAAAATGACCTGTGACTCCTCAATAAATATATTCACACCTTAAAGAACGCAGGTGCCAAGATAAGCTGGTCACCTTTTGATAGTGCATCTCGCTTTGATGTGGAAGATAATGTGTAAGTTTTCTATGGCATGACGTGTGTAATGATCGTCATAAAGTGTAACTCTAGTGTTAAGGTCGCCTAAATAAATACTAATGACATGCTGCCATCATAAATCTCCAAGTGTAGGTACTGTAGTTGTAGATTGAGAATCTAATTTGTGAACTGATCACGGATATCTTGAAGGACAATGTTGTGTCGAGGAAAACAGGGCAGAAACTTTCACAGGAACAAAGCTATGGATTAATTGAAAATTTTAACGGATGGAGATGATAAGCTTCTGCATAAGTGAAAGGTGCATCAAGGAAAAACCCAGTAACCATTAAAGGTTTGTGTAAATGTCTGTGTAAGTAGCTAGGTAGGTGATATGTTCTTCATTCTACTATTGGCAAGTTACAAAATAGTGATGAAATCTGTAAATGAGGCAGGAGAACTTACAGGTCAGTGGTTACGGTGAATTACGAGAATATCGTAAATACATAATACAAATTACCCACAATTGAACATGGTACAGATAAAGCACGACTTTCAACATCGAATGGCTTCTAAACAACATTGCATAAACGGCGGGTGCGTTATCAGGCGGAGCGGTCCCGTTATCCGTCTAAATAACACAGCGCTTACAAGAACCCGTGGACAAAAGCTATTGTTTATGAAAGCAATCACCCCAATAACGATTTCCACAAAACGCACGGGCTCGCCGGCGGCGGAAAACGCGCGATTCGATGCGCGTGCGCCGAGCCGCGCGCGCTATTTGCATACACGTACCATTTATAAAGGCCCACACAGCGTAGCGCGGCTGACGGCTCACTCAATTCGGCCGCCCGAAGCGTTATTTACGACCTATGTCAAATCGCCAGCGGAGCCAATCTAATCGTGCCCAATTGTGACAAATTATTGCTTTTCCTACGAAACCTTACGCTAAATTTGTATTATGAATTTCACTTTATGGAATAACGCACGCTTTATGGAACTCCGTACGGAATAAATCCCGAGTGTACCCGCTACAGTGTTGCCCGCGATTATTCGCACCTCGGCCGATATTTATTGGCACTCGGTGTCGCTTAGAAAGGCTAATTCTTTTGTGCTGGCAACTCACGAGTGTCGTAAATCGTCTACCCGAACGCCTCCGAGTGCTGATAAAGGATTGTAAATAACGCCCGATTAGCTGACTAATCTCTTTCAAGTGTTGCAGATTGCAACTTTGATTTGCGCACCGTTTTACAACCAGATTAAGTTGAAAATTTAATTTGGTTAAGGTGCGTTAATAAATTGTGTGGGACGTTTTATTGGTGTAAAATGGTGATTTGGTTATTAAATTAGGTAATAAAGTAGTATGATGACACAGCGGTATTAATGAGGCGGCGTGGGACATCAAAGTGTCAAGTGCAGTGTTATGGTGCGTGCGTGCGGCGCGGTGGACGTCGCGGTCGCCGACGCGCGACGACACGGCCGATAATCGATCGAATCGACATTGGACGCCTCCCGCTTATCGAGAGCAGTATCAAGGCCCTTGGAGCCCGACAACCCCGCGGCGGGCCAATGAGAGGCGGCCGCGAGCCCGGCCCGGCCGCCCATTGGTCTGATACGCTTTTGATTGCACCGCCCCACTCGATTCACGACTCGATCAATCTCAATTATTCGTGTGTTGGTACTACTCCAAGTGGCCGGGCGCAGTCGCGGT